GGTGTTCAGGGTCTCACTACTAGATCAGACTTGTAGTAATCCGCCTGTTTACAACCCCCCAAGAGCTGGGATTACAGGCATGCGCCACCACGTCCAGTTTCAATTGCTGTCTCAGCGAACCCTGGGGGCGGGGCTGGCACAGCAGGCCTAGGGATTGAACCCCAGCCCCTGTTCCTGCTTGCAGGTGCTTTAATTCACTGAGCTATTTGGCTTGGCCTCTCAGTGTTATTTCAATTTGTATTTCTCTAAAGGCCAGCAATGTTGACATTTCTTCATGTATTTATTGACTACACTTCTTTTGAGAAGTGTCTATTTCATTGCTTATTTTTTTATTTAAAGAGAAAAAATAAAATGATAAAATAGGCTAGTAGGAGATAGAGCATGAAATATTGTCTGAAGATTAGCACAAAAACTTTTCAATGAACTAAGCGATATTAGCTGTATAATTATCTTTTTTACATAATAATCTTAACTATTTTTGTATAAAAAAATCTCTCTATACACTTATATTTTCTTTCTTTCTCCTTTTGCCTTCCTTCCTTTCCCACTTCTCCCATCAGTTTTTTTATATTGGGCAGTCCATTCTATCTCCGAAGACTCATGTGAGACAAGTGTGTGTCCGTGTGCACTTGGGATAGAACTCAGAGCACCATGTATGCTGAGCATGGCTCCTACCCCTGAGCTACATCTTCAGCCCAATAGCCAGTTCTTTTTGATAATGAGAAGGTGTCTTGTAGTGTGTAACTTCTATTCACTGATCCCAGCTCTGTTTCCTAAAGGAATCGAACTCACCCCTGCCCCGGCTTCCATAGGGTTACCCTTCAGACAGAGCCTTGGCATGTCTTCCAAGTCTTCACTTTCTCAAACGGAACATCTCATTCTTACAACTGGACCTACACACAAATTACTTCTAGGTTCTCATCAATATAACATGTAATTTCTTTGTTAATATTTCTTAACACACATTGAGCATGATACTCCAAATATGTTTTAATTTTGTAAAACTATTGAATCTTGATCTGAATCGTGTATTTCTCTTAAGACAACTTAAACTTGGACATAAATGGTGTTAGAAAAACTTATTACACTGACAACTATATTCAATATTTGGACATCGAGAAACCTACTTCTTATGTCTACTCACTAACCCAGGCTTCCTAAGTGTCATGTTTGTGCAATTTAACAGCTGGAATAAATACAGGACTTACTATGACTGGTAAATCTCCTTTTGTTGATTTTAGGTCATTGTTTCCATATATCAGGGTGCTACGGAAACATATCAAACTAACCACTAAAGGTCACCACACAGATAAGCTAGGGAAAGACCACAGTGATGGTGCCTTTGAAGAAGGCATTTAGCGATAGAGAGGAGTAACTTGGGCAAGTTGCTTAAGCCATTTGAACAACCGTTTCTGAAGGGTTTTGCTTAACAGATAGAAGATCGAAGTTGTGGACTGGCTTTGTTCAGTTATTTCACAGAGGTAACTATAAGAGACCAGCCTGACCTCCAAGTGGTCTGTGCAGTGTAACCATAATTCCCACAGCATCTGCAACACAACTAGGCACATAATCGATTTTTGATAATTCACATTATCTTGTTATCTTCCTAAACCATGGAGAAAAGAAACAAATACATAGTCTTTCAATTATTACTGTTATCATCCCAATAGGTATTTATCCCTAAAACCTTAGACTCTTTTTTTTTTTTTTTTTTCATATTTAGGTCTACAGAGTCTACAGGGTCTACAGGGTCTCACTACATAGATCAGACTCATAGTGATCCACCTGTCTTCAGCCTCCTAAGCACTGGGATTATAGTCGTGTGCCACTATGCCCAGTCTCAATGGCTATCTCAGCATGACCCGAGGGTAGGGCTGGTATGGCCCACTGGGGATTGAACTCCAGCCGCTGTGCTCTACCTAAGCAGGTGCTTTAGTCCACTGAGCTATCTGGCCAGTCCCCTAAAACCTTAGGGTCTCAAGCTTTAGGTTTAGAATTATCCCTTTTCTTTTTTTGGGCTAACTACCCCCTGCTTCTCATTTACCTGTCAGAGATTTTACTGTTTATTCATCAGATATTTCTTGAGAGCCTACTATGTGCCATATATTATAGGCACTGGACTCCAAGCTGACCACAATAAGTCTGTGCTGTACTAAGAGGAGAAAAAGAGCCATTTTAAATGCAATATGACAAGAAGAACAGTAGGGACAAGTGGCAGAAGAGGGTCCCCCTAGGTAAAGTGGGAGGCACAAACTGGGCACTATGACACATGCCTATAGCCACAAACTCTTGAAATATTTAGGCAAGAGGATTGCTTGAGCCCAGCAATTCAAGGCCAGCCTGGGTAACTTAGTGACACATTATCCCAACAAAGAAAAGGAGGGTGGGGGAAGGAGGCAAGAAAGAACACTCCCATCACAAGTCTAAGAAGCCTATAAGGGTGTGTGGGAACTGGCCAAATGCAAAACGGTTTTGTAAAGCAATCTAGGGAAAAAAAAATAGTGTGAGCAAGTCTGGGATTACAGAAATCTGATTACTAACTTCTTCCAGTCTCTTTCTTTTTGGCCTCCTCCAGTGCCCAGGAATCATCTGTTGCAGGTACTCGTTTAACTCTCTGTTTCCATCTTCCCAACCAAGTTTGCACTCATATAGGTTTTTTTCCTTGAAAAGTTCTAGTCCTGATTCCACCTTCCCTTTCCTCTCTTTGAGAAGACAGCACTGAGACTAGTTAACCCCTACCTACATACTGGCTTCCATAAATTTTACTGGGAAATGGCTTTGCCATTGTCATCTTTATAGTTCCTGTCCCTGACACAGGGCTTGGTATGAAGTTGGTTTTCAACAAATGTTTATGTACTGAGAAGCAAAATTTAACTATCCACAAGTTCTAATATACATAAGGAACATGTTGTAAGGTACAAATAGATACATGTAGCTCTGACCTAGAAATCACAGAAAACCTACATGGTAGCCTACAGAAATCAAAGGCTAATAGAAATCATTTTTTTCTTGAAAATTTGCAATATTCAGATCTTTATAATGCTTTAAGGAAGTTTACAGAACACTGATTAAGGTGCTTGCATCTTCTGATAACCATCCCCTGGTGCTGCCTGCTGGCTCAAAGGTGAGAGGGCTACGCGAGCTCTGCCCAGCGATGCAGCAATGTCTGTCTGTTCTAATGTGCACAGCTGGACCAGAATCACTGAACGTCCAACTCGGTGAACCACGAGGAATGTGCACAGATGAGATGAACACAGAGATAAACTGGGCATGGCCCAAGGGACACTGATGAGATAACCTCATGCTTTGCTCTCACATCGGAGTTCTCAAAATTCATCCAAGCTAGAACATGTCAGAGAACATCAGAGAGATCAGAATTTCCTGCTGGCAGAAAACAGGAGAGCATAAAATTGACAAGGAATGAAAACGTGAAGAGGTCGTTTCAGCTGTTAAGGGCTGAAAAAAGAAGTATCTCAATTATTAATGAAAATAAACAAGCAAAACAGATGAAAGATAAGAGATCATTAAGTTCATGCAAACAGAGATATTACTGGTAAATATGGAAGGGATACAAACAGGAGGAAAGCTGAAGAATCAAACAGGGAAAGATGTTCAATCTTACTGCACCTGCACCAAAACCCCATTATTACCACTTTACATGTAAGTAATTACAAATATCGAAAACTCTAGTAGTTAACAATGAAAACCATGCAAACTTGCTGACAGAACTGAAAGAAGACCTAGATAAATTGGGCCTGGTTGGAGATGGGTCACTGGGGGCATGACCTAGAAGGGTGTGTTCTTGGTTCTGGCTTTTCCATTTTTTCTCTGCTTCATGGCTAACTTGAGGTGAGTAGTTTTTCTCTGCCAGGCCCTTCTGCCAAGCTGTTCCTGCCTTGAAGACAGCTGACCATAGACTAAGTCCTCTGGAAACTGTGAGCCAAGATAAAGCACTTCTCCTGTAAGTTATAGGTGTTACCTTTTGTGTTCCAGCAACAGGAAAGTAGCTAATACCATTGGCGACTCTCCTGCCTTCACTTCCCAAGTAGTGGGGTCACAAGCAGATGCTACTATGCTTGGCTAGGCAAATACTTCTTAAATACAACATGGAAAGTGACTGGGAAGCTGAGGCAGGAGGGCCAGAAGTTCCAGGGTAGCCAGAGCAGTATTAGGGATGTGCTTAACGCTCATGGGGTTCAATCTCCTGTACTGAAAAACAAAATGCCAGAGTGATCACAGCTCATTTTTACTTATTATTCTTCACAAACAATAGATAATCTGGGGATATGTTCCAAAAAGGTCAACTAGGGAGAGAAAGTAGAATGTTTCCTATTTAGGAACAAAAAACAAAAGCAGCACAGAATGGGCAATGACATGAAAATCAAGACTCCAAGAACTAATCTCCAATTGGAGAACAGAGTCCATAGGGTAAAGGAACTGGGATATATCAGATTAGAGTTGAATTCCAAGTCCAGTATTGCTCAGAATCCCAGACTTTCCATTTGAATCTCCCCAGTTGCCACTTTGAAATACTACTCTATAAATTTATTTATTTATTCATTTTTGTCACAGCAGAACTTTATTGAAAGGAAACATGGTCACACCCAGAAGACAGCTTTCACTCTCTCAGTCACATGCACACACCCTCCCCCGGCCTCCACACACGGTTCAGTTCTTAGCCCCAGTGGAACAGGTGGCAGGGGCCAGAGGGAGGCATGGAGTGGGGGTGGGGAAGTGGTCCCATAGAAATGGGGTCAGGGGTGGAGGAAGGGGGCGCCTGCCTGGAGTAGAGGTGGGCAGGGTGCACCGCATCTTGTGCGTGCTGAGTAGATCCCAGCTGGCCACTGTGACAGTGTGGCTGGTGAGGCGGGGCTGGGGCGGTGCACTCGAAAAGGTCTGGAAAGGACCGGGCCTCCTACCCAGTGTACAAGTCCTCTGGGTGGTGGCTGGGAACTGGAGCGGGCAGGGCAGGACAGGGCAGACAGCAGCCCCAGGCAGGCTCATCTCTGGGGCTCCTCGGGAGCCTCACCACCCTCTTCCCCGGCGTTGTCAAATGTCCACAGTGACAGGTTGTCTCTCAGCAGCTGCATGATGAGGGTGCTGTCTTTGTAGGAGTCCTCGCTGAGTGTATGCAGGTCAGCCATGGCCTCGTCAACAGTGGTCTTGGCCAGCGAGATGGCCTCCTCCGGGCTGTTGGCGATCTCATAGCGGAAAACAGCAAAGTTCAGGGCTAGGCCCAGGTGGATGGGGTTTCTGGGGGGCATCTCCTTCTTGCTGATGTCCATGGCCTCCTGGTAGCCTGCCCGGGCAGAGTCGACGATGCGCTTCTTGTCGTCACTGGTGGCCACCTCAGCCAGGTAGTGGTAGTAGTTGTCCTTCATTTTCAGGTAGAAGACATGGCACTCGGCCTCCCTAGCCTCCTTGATGAGGTAGGAGTGCAGGAGGCCCAGCACGGTGTCACACACTCCCTGGAGCTCGGTCTCCATCTTCTCCCGGTACTCTCGGACCTCAAGGCCCTTCCCCTCTGGGCCCTCCTCATTGCTTTTCTGTTCAGTGCTGTACAGAACTCTCCAAGCAGCCCTCTGGCTGCCCACCACATTCTTGTAGGCCATAGAGAGCAGGTTTCGCTCTTCACAGGAGAGGCCCTCACTCTTTTCCGCTGCGCCCCTCATGAAGGCTGCCACGTCCTCATAGTGCTTGGCCTGCTCTGCCAGCTTGGCCTTCTGGATCAGACTGTCTCTTTCCATGGTTCTAGGGAGAGATGGTCAGGTGGCGGGCTAACTGGCTGCCAGCGGACTGATGCCAGGTTCCGTGCCTCTCCTGCTCTGGGCGTGCCTTTTGGATGGGTGGCCTGGCCCAGAGCACTATTCTATAAGTTTAATTGGTTTAAGTATAATTTCCTAAGATGCTTGTTTACTCCTTTAATGTAGTATTAAATGGCTTTTAATAAATGGTCCTACAGAATATGTTTCCAAAAGGAAAAAAAAAAATCAAAGCTAACCCACTACACTTACCACTTGAGTGCTTCTGTAAGTCAATTAAAAGTCACCTCTGCTTAAGTATAAATAGGATTTCAACTATCTCTACTTTAATAGAGGACACTTCTTTTATTCTTGCAGAAGTCCTTTAGAAAATGGGCAATACTAGTTTGTATGAGGTAACCCTAATACAACCGATATTAGAAAACAAATCTATCTTCCTTAGAAACAGTATTAGAGCTTAGCCTGGAGCCATACACCTGTAATCCTATCACTACCGAAGCTGAAGCAGGAAGATAATTATGAGTTCAGGCCAGCCTGGACTATAGGTAAGATCTGTTGTAGCTCCTGACTGTTTTGTCCCTCAAAGTAAACAAAGAAAAAAAAAGCACTTTAGTAATAGGGAAAATAACTTAGGATTTCTAACACAAGACCCCCCAATAAGTCTTCAAACTAACATTTCCCTATTTTACTCCTAACATTTGGTATACTATCACTTAATTTACTTGGTCTGTAAATGGTTTCTTGCCTTTGGCTTTAATTAGAATTGGGCCCTGGTTCATTTTCCCTACTCTGTGAAGTGTACTACACTATCTTTCTATTCAGATAGCTGTCTCTTGACCATCCCTACATCTGAGGGGATTACAGGTGTGTCCTACTACACCAGCTTATTGTCTGTTTTTTTAAGATGGACTTTCCTTATTGTACTGAGATCTGATGCATCTGTCTATACATAAGCAAAATTGGTGCTTCTGCAGATTTCTGTCCCAGTGTTGAATGTAAACTTTAATTTAAATCAGTAATGGAGCATCCTCTGAGTAGGGCCTATGAAATTTAAAAAATACAATGTGCCATGGTTTGTGTCTTGATGTTCCCCCAAAGCCTCACAGTTATAGGTGGAGTTTTTTCAGAGGCAGGTGAATCTAAAGCACCTCTGGGGTAAAGCGTGTGTGATTATTAAAGCAGTCCACTGATTGGCTTGGCATTGCTCTAATCCCCATAGCCTGGATACAATGAAAGGGACAGAGAGAGGCTTGTCTAGACTCTTGCCGCTTTGCTACCTTCTACTCACCATGAACTGTGTCTCCTCTGCGATGCCTTCTGCCATGTGCCATCCTGCCTTGGAGCCAGCTGATTATGGACTGAAACCTCTACAAACTATGAGCTAAATACACTTTTTCCCCTTTCACGTTGGGTGTTGGGTATTTTGCTTAAGCAATGACAGAAAAGTAACTGAGACAAATATGTTACCATGAAAGGCACTTGTGGGTGACTCTATTTCCAGCTTTTAACAGTGATAAAATTATCTTGTTTAAAAAACTGAGTCATATAAAACAATGGGGATCATATAAAACATTAGTTAGGTTCCTGATACTATAACAAATACTTGAGATAATCAATATAAAGAGAAAAAAATATATAAAAAGAAAGCATTTATTTTGCTTAGTTTTGTAGAGTTTTCTTTCTTTCTTTCTTTCTTTTTTCTTTTTTTTTTTTTTTTTGTGGAACTGAAGATTGAACTCAGGCCCTTGTCCTTGTCAGGAAAGTGCTTATTCTACTGAGCTATCTTCCTGGCCCTATTTTGCTTAGTTTTGGAAGTTGTAGTTTCTGACTGTTTTATCAGGAGCTTTTGAGACTGCTATGTTGCAGGACATCATGGTACGTGTGTGTGGTGGAGCAAATCCACTCACCGCATGGACAAAAAGCAAAGAGAAAGATCTAGGATCCTACAATCCCCTTTAGGGGCATATTTCCAAGAAGCTAAAGCTTCCTACTAGGCTCCTCCTTTTAAAGGCTCTACCCCCTTGCGACAGTGCCATTTGGAGGGACAAAGCTTTAACACATGAGTGTTCTGGGGATATCTATAGGTTAGGCCTATCATCTTAACAGCTACAAAGAATCAGCTTATGGCAATAACTAAGTGAGTGAGGCCGGAAAAAATAAGAGGTTAGAACACACCTGGGACATAGAGATGACAGCACAGGACTGAATTTGCCAAAAACTATGCAATGGAAATGGCAGTGTATATTGGTAATTGCCTTAGGAGGGTTGGGTGTGTTTTTTATAAGATAACTATATTTATTCATCAGCTCTGGTGAAATCAGGAATAGGACATCATGTCTGAATCTTGCACAGCAATTAACCACTAGGAAGAATGTATGCAATGTGTTAATTATTGAAACTGTCCTACCAATTTGATTTGAAACTGTCTCATTGCTATTTGTTTCTCAATAAAATTATGGAAAAAAATACCCCCCCCAAAAAAAAAAGAAAAAGAAGGGGAAGATAGCCACCACTAAGGAACATCAAGGAGTTCAGATCTTTGGTTTGTCTGTTAAATCAGTCCTAGAAACATTATATTTGAGATAAACATGCCCACAGAGAATCAACTTTGTAATGAAGTATGCCCTTCTTAATGTTCTACTCATAAGACTTTTTGTTCTTCTATTTTACTTCTTGAAAATTTTAAGCATACTTGTTTTGAAGTTCATTTCATATTTTTATAGACATGTTCTTTAGCTGTGTTTCGGCTTTTTCCCCCTGTGAACTTAGGCAGTAGCTGCCTTCTGTGTGCCCCAGGTAAAAGTCCACTCTATGTGGCTGTGCAGAAGTTTTTACCAGCCTTGGGCTCAGTACTGCTATCAGTTTCCCTGGCTTGTGGCTTCTAAACTTTACAAGCAGTGTAATTTTGAGTCCCACCTCCAGGTAGACCTCTGATTGGAACTCTAGATTTTTCAAAGATGATTTTTTACTCACTACCCATACAGGCTGCTCAGTTCTGTTCAATATTGCCTGGTCAGTGAGTGGGCCCTGGACAGAGACTAGATAGCATGTGTATCCCATGGCTTTAGGCAAGCTACTTAGGGCATCTCTAAGCCACTCACAACTCCATCTACCAAGGACATACTCCCATCCCCATCTTCTAGTGGAAAATATTGATCTGGTCTCCTCAGTGCTAAGAACACAGCACTGTCCTTTCCATGAAGTTTGTTAAGCCAGCAAGATTTGTAATTGCTAAATCGTAAGGACTTTGTATTTCAGTTAAGAGGTCTAAAAATGACTGAGCACACCAGCCTGGGTAACAGGAGACCTGAGCTCTAGTCTAAATACAGCCCTGAACAAATTGTGCAACTAGTATAGCTGAGTTTGTCAAACACTTTGGTTCTTACTGGAGAAAACTACAATTTTAGAATTGAGAAAGAAAAGCAATAAGGTCTTTTCCTGCTCAAAAATGTCCTAGTTCTATAAAATACTATCTTTTATTTTCCAGGGCATAGACAGAGGCCAGGACCAAGGGTAGCATGTACTTGATTTAAGGTAAAGACAATGTATACAAAAAAAA